CTATTGTTGAATCGCATGTGAGGATAGGATTGCAGTGCAAATGCATGGCACACTGACGTAGCTATTTTACTCTGACCTTTGGATGGCATTGATTCTATGCTTTTAAGTATCTCTGTTTCAAGTATTCCTTTTTAATTTCTTAAGTTTTATGGACAAGATTGAGCATATTTTACAAACTGTATTTGGGGGAAAGGGAATATGGTTAAGGATAAGAAGGCAAGATTTGTTTGCTTTTCACATGAATCACTTCATCCTATGGAGGATAATAGACCTGAGAGTGTAATTTGTTGTGTCATAATCATGTTTAAGTTATTTTTTTACTTGTATAAATTGAGATGTTAGTACTTCATATCAAATAGAACTTAGGAATATTTGTGTCATTTATGCCAGGTCTTGATAAAATAGTGGTAATTTGAGCTCTTTATTTTTGTAATTGAAGAATTTGCATTACAACAGTAGTGATTAAATAGTTTCTTGCTTGATGTTTTTCAAAGTGTATTTCATGAAAATGTGCAGGTTACTACCTTACCATGTTGTAGCAGATTATGAGGCAGAGGAGGATGACAGAATTCTCGATTCTGACCCAACCGGCCAGATGCCATCTCGCTCCCAGCAGTGGGATCACAACATTGCTGCCAAAGTTGCAGAGTTCACAGCCACATTCGAGAAACAGGCACTTGCCTTCAACATAATATCTCGCAAACGAGCTGTGGGGGAATTCCGATCCGAGGAAAGGTTGATGGTTGAGCAGGCTCTTCTCCAGGAAGAGAAGAGAACCATGCTCGAGTTGAGATCAGAAATAGAATCTAGAGATAAGGCTAGTCGGGAGGCTCACGAGGCTAAGATGCGAATGGCAGCAATGGTGCAGGCAGAGCAAGCTCGAGCCGAATCCCAAGCCCATGCTGAAATATTGGCCCGAGGCCCTATAAGGGCAAATGCACTCGGATCTCAGGGAGGCAACCTTCCAATGAGTCATGACATTGGGGAGCAGTTACAGGGTGTAAGCCCTGATGAGACGATGAACGGGTGGGGGAACAATGCACAGAGGGATGAAAAGGAGCCATCTGAAGAATTCTTAAACGACGAGGAGACCAACAACGGAGAGCAGAATGAATGGCGTGAAGTTGGGGAGTTTGATTTGAACAGTAGATGAGTCATGAATATTGGTGGTTATTGGCATTTCGGTGTCTCCGTCTTTGTTTTTTTTTTAAACTTAATTTGTAAAAGAAAACTTGTAGTCAAAGCTTATATAACATTTTCATCACCTTGTGTTTGATTGTATTGATCTTGTCTTAGACAAGCGAAAGCAAGCAGTTTAGTTGCCTTGATGAGCCGCTTGGGACTTCCACTTATCATTTTAAACCATCTTTGCAAGTAAAAGCACCTAAATTATTATTACCTTTTTCTCAATGAAATTGTCTTATCCTTTTAAAAAGGAAAGATAAATTTTCTCTTTGTTTTGTCTGGTAGAATCATGTCACCACTCTTTGTTATCTGACGTAGGGGTGCACAAAAAATTCGAATATCCGATTTTGCGAAAAAAAATATCCGAAATCGGATTTGGGAAAAACCGGTTTTTTTTAACCGGATCGGATTTTTTTAAACCGGTTATTTTAACCGGTTTGGAGAAAAAAACCTAGACCGGTTTTTTTACCGGATAAAAAACCGGTTTGAAAAAAACCGGTTAAAAAACCGGTTTTTATCTGGAAAAAAAACCGGTCTGAGTTTAAAAAACTAGCCGTTAATATAGCCGTTGGGGGGGGGGGTTTGTGACCGTTTTTGAACGTTTTTTTCTTTAAAAAAATTACCATTTTACCACCCTAAACGTGTATAAATAAGTTGGGGATGTATTTGGTTGATTACAACTTTCTCAAATCTTATTACACAACACTTAAACATCTCTAAAATCTTATTTTTGTAATTTTTTGTTCATCATGAGTAACACGGCTGAATCTTCCGTCGGGGAAAACCTTGAAGTCGTGAGAGTGATCGAACACACTCGAAACAAAGATATTTGGGATCACTACGATTTATGTGAGATGTCAAATGGCTCGAGGAGGGCTCGTTGTAAACTTTGTCTAAAGTTTCTTGCATCGGAAGGAAACACAACGTTGAAGAACCATTTGACAAAATCATGCAAGGCACTTCGCTCAAGATCGGATCCTAGTCAATCGAATCTTACACCGCAAGGTGGTGTTTTTGTTTACGACAACGAAAAATTACGAGAAGCGTTTACAAAGTTCGTGATTACAAAAGCATTGTCGTTCGACCACTTTGATGATGAAGATTTCACGACAACAATTCAACAACTAATGCAACCACGTTATACTCAAGTAAGTCGTACTACCCTTAGAAGAGATGCTATAAAAATGTGGCGTACGGCGAGGGAAAAAATGATTTTAGGATTCCAAGAACACCGTTATGGTGTGTCGCTTACATGTGACGTTTGGAGTTCCCCTCATAATACCGGAAATTCTTTTTTAGCCGTTACGTCACATTGGTTAGATCAAGGTAATTGGCAAATGATGAAAAGAACAATCGCGTTTGAATTATTCGGTGAGCCGCATACCGGTGCTAATTTATTTACACTTTTAAAAAGGGTAATTTGTCTTTATAAATTAGAAAATAAAGTTTTTTCTATATCCTTTGATAATGCATCGAATAATACAAACGCGGTTCCAATATCGAAAATATTACTTTTACCGATTTTAGACGGTGCGTTTTTTCATACCCGTTGCGTTGCACACATAATTAATTTATCCGTGCAAGCCGGTTTGGAGGTTATTGAGCCGATTAGATTAGAATTTAAAACAATGATAAAATCGGTTCTTTGTAACAACAACAAAAGACTAAATGATTATAAACGATTTTGTAAGTCCGTTAATAAAAAAGCTTTGGGTCCTAATTTGGATTGTCCAACTCATTGGAACTCAACTTGGATGATGATGCATACTGCCTTAAGGCAAAGGGAAACATTGCAAACATTTCACGATCGGCTTTTCGAGAGGGGTCATGTCCCAAACATTTATCTGGATTCGAGTTGGGAAACTATAGCCAAAATAACCGATTTGCTTGAGGTTTTTAAAAATGCAACAACTTTTTTATCCGGTGTTTATTACCCTACTAGCCCGTTGGTTCTTAATCAAATATTTTTGTTGGCTACCCGACTAAATGACTTTGAATTTGAAACCGAAGTTTTTCAAGAAATTGGCTTTGCAATGAAGGAAAAACTTTTAAAATATTTTAAGGAGATTCCCCCCATTTTTACTTGTGCCGCCGCTTTAAACCTAACGTTAAATGTTGGTGGGGTTGAAACACTAATTGAACAAATTGCGTTTGCTTTTAATCTAACCGATGATGAACCCAACTTTGTCCAAAACCAAATAAATTATTTTAACAAATGTTTTCGAGACATGTTTGCAATTTATTTAATTAAATACGGATCAAGTAGTGTAATACACGATCAAATGAGAATGAATGCGGAATCATCTAGTAGACGTCCAAGTAACATAAATTTGAATCTTTTTAACACTCTTGTAAATTCCCAATCGAAACGATCACGTACTACCACCCCAAGTAGCGAGTTGGGAAATTACATGTCATGCGATTTTCTATCAAAAATGACATTTGAAGATTTTGAAAGTTTGGATATTTTGGCTTGGTGGAAAGAAAAAGAAGCACAATTTCCGATTCTAGCCGCCATGGCCCGTGATTTACTAACCGTCCAAGCTTCTACGGTAGCTTCGGAATCCGCTTTTTCAGTTAGTGGTAGGGTTATATCGCAACGGAGATCAAGACTAAGTCCTGAGTCGGTGGAAGTATGCATTTGTTTGAAGGATTATTTGGATGGAGCGGCTCGTAAGCAACATATTACCACCCTAGAAGATGCAATTGATGCCGATTTGGAAGCAAACTTACACATTGAAGAAGTCAAACTTGGAATATCCCCTCCAAACGAAGAAGGCGAAGATGATGAAGAAGAGATGGCAATGTAGTTTATTTTTAAACTTTATTTTAATTATCGTAAACTTTGTTTCAATTATCGAACTTGAAGTTTTTAAGTATTTGAATTTATCGAACTTGAAAGTTTTTAAGTATTTTAATTTATCGAACTTGGAAGTATTTAAGTATTTCAATTATCGTAAACTTTGTTGCAATTGATGACGATGTAATTTTAATAATATTAAAATCGGTTCTTTTATAACCGGATTTTAAAAAAAACCGGTTTTTTTAAAACCGAAACCGGTTACACCGGTTAGGATATCAGGCCCTCCAAACCAGTTAGAAACCGAACCGGTTATTTTATAAACCGGTTTTTTTTCTATGGAAAAAAACCGGATCGGATTGAAATCTGAATTCTGTGCAACCCTAATCTGACGGTTCTCATTCATATTTTATTATAATTTTTGTATTTCTTTTCGCCTCTTTTATTTCTCCTTTTTCATCTCTTTATTTTTTTTATTTGCTTGTTCGAATTTTTATATTATTTTATTTAATAAATTTTTTTATTTTTTATTGAAAAAATGGAGGTATTTATATGATTTTATAACATGTTTTCCTTTTTTAGGGTTGATTTTGACATTGTATGGTTGATGTTTATTTGATTATTTAGTTATCTACTTTTGATTTAAACTTTCAAATTAAGTGTTTATAATAAAATCAATTATCAATATGTTATTATTATAATTAATTTTATGTTAGAATTGATAATGTTTATTATTTATCACCGATTATAGTATTTAATTATACTTTTCAGATTTTAGAATGGTTTGAATGAAGCTTTTAAATTAATTTTTATGTTATCTTGTTCATAGATGATGTTAAGAGAAATGATGAACCAATACAATAAACATACGTTAATTTAATTGTTGTAGAATTTTTTTTTAGTAAAACTATCTGCAATTGTTTCTCTATCCCGAGATGTACTCAACTGGGTACCAAAAAGAGTGAGAAAACATGATTTGTATAGGAAATAAGGCTGTCGGTAAGCAAGAGAAAGGTAAATACCAAACCAATATAATGGTGCCTACTGCTTTGCTTTCCCCTTTCTTTCTCCCCCATACATACAGATGCACAAGCAAAGAACATATCATCCAACTTAAACCCAACACAAGAAAGGATAAAAAATGGAGAGGCAATTCTTTAACCTCGAATCAAATAAAGAAACAGGGGAAACCAAAGCAAGAATGCACAAAATCTTCAACGGTATCTACAAAATGTTGGGGAGCTGGGAATCCAATCTCTGCTGCAACTCCTTCATCTTCATCGAAAGCTCCATTTTCTGCTCCTTGTAGCTCTGCAACAAAAAATCTTTTCCTTCTATTACCTCTCTTAACTCTCCTACTTCTCTCTTCAGCATCTCAATTCTCTCCCCATCTCCCCTTCCCTTCTCAGGGGAGCCCGAGTTGCTTTCCACATCAAGATACCCATCAGCATGGCCATTTCTTATGTCAGATGGCCAAGCTGCATCGGTTGATGTTTTCTTATTCGTGCCAACATGTCCTACACAGTGATCTGCAATTGCCTTCCTCAGCCTTTGGATTTCTCTCTCGGAGTCGAACAAGTCTCTATTTGCTGCATCAAGCTGTGATTGTAAGTCGGTTGAGTGTGCCACCTGAGCATTCAGTGAATTCTGCAGCTCCATAATCTGATCCTGCATCTCCAAAATCATATCATCTCTTCTTTTCAACTGTTGCCTTAGTTTCTGTATCACTTCCCGTTTGCTAAATATGTCGGAGCCTGATTCTGAGACACATGGTGAGTCAGAGCAGTTAGAATGATGGAACGGCTTCGGAGGTAACTCAAGACGATCCGGAGATGATGCCCACATAACACCATTATCCTTGTTGAACTCAGACGTGGGAACTGTCACCAGAGGGAGAGCAACTTCAGATTCGGGCAACATCTGACCATTGGGTGGGTGCTTCTCACCCATGTTTTCAGCTCCTGTACATGAATTTATGAATCATTAGAGAGTACATGAACCTATGATTAGCCAAAGTACTCATTAGAAAGGCAAATGAGACTTTGTTTCTTTTATTGCAGACAATATGCACCTATTTACACAAAGAAAAGAGATATCGGGAAAGAAACCAAACTAGAGGATTCATAATAATTCTATTCCTTCACTTTTATCATCCAACTCGAAAGACCAAAACAGAAGCTTTGAAAGGTGAAAAATAAAAAGGCTTTGGACATCTCAAACAGTAACATAACTGGCTGCATCACACCTAACATGCAGTTGAAACAACCATCATCTTCTTCAGTGAAAGAATACATGTTTGAATGTAACCGGCGACCTGGTGATCTCCTTCTGTCAGAAGCTCCATTCCCTGTAATAAACTCTAAATTTATAAACAGTTATCTGTTCAATACAAATTATTGGGGCAATAGATATCAATATACCTTTCAAGCTGGCAGTAACATTATCTTGTTGCTTTGAGTCAAGTGCCTGCTTCAGCTTGTAACCAAGTCGGACTGACAAGGTACTTAGCAAAGCACCACCAGCAATGAGAATCCAATTTGTCCCCTCACCTTGACTTTTTTTTGAACTCTGACCCCTAGATACCCGACTGTTTCTCGTATTCATTTTAAGAGCAAGAAGGGGTCAGGTGGGAAAACTCTGAATCACCCAAATATGGCCTACAATCAGAGTGAACAACATGCAATTACTGTTCATGTAAAGAAAAGTTAAATGAAATATCATCAAGAGAGCTGTAAGTTCTACAAAGTCTCGCACTAAACAAGAGTGGTCTTAGACTTGAATTTGAACTAAATATAATTTATGCAAGATTCTTCAATTGAACTTTTTGAGATCCATTAGATGCCTTCAAATAAAGAATCAATTCCCAATCTCCTGACGTCCCACAGACCTAAACACTATAGATTTTTATTTTTATTTTTTACTTTCTATAGATGGTTCCATAGGAAAAAGTGCCAATGCTCTTGATAGATAAGCTTTTGTCACAGGAAATTGAGTCAAAGTCATACATAACATCCAAGATCAAAAACCTTTTGAATAACAAAGCCGCAAAATTCTCCCCATGCTATGCTTTATGAAATAAGTTAGATAACCAAAAAAAAAATCAATTAAGTCTTTCAACTTACAACAGAGTAGGTTAGTAGTCTATCTAAAGTGAAATATCATACATAAATGGTTAGAATGTTAAAAATGAAAAAGCAAAATATCCCAAGCATTACATGTTTAAACCACATAATAACGTTTAAATTTCTATAATTCTACCTGATTTAGGCAGTCCAGTAGCTTATAAACGCTAGACAACATCTTAAAAACAGAAGAACCAGGAACTTAAGACCAACAAAATCAAAATCCTACAAAAAGGCATATTAAGGAAAAAACAGTACCAATCCACGAACCATACCAACAGTAGGCATAAGAAATCAACACTAATTTCAAATTAACCTAAACTAAAAAAGAAAACACTATTGTTCTACAAACTCTTCTATTACACAACATTAAAATCAAATATAAATTAAAATCAGTAAACATGTGAGGTCGAGTTACAATCAAATGCCTAAATGTTACAATAAAGCAGAAATAGCTTTCAAATTTCTTCAAGGACAAGGCATACTTGTCTTAGTTAGCTTCAATAATTTCCATCGCATTGAAATCTATATACTACTACTGAGTACTGACTAATCCAAACCTCAAGTTCTAATATCCCAGGCTATCCATTATCTACGATGGTGCTCACATTTCTCTCAACACCTGCAAGTATGGGTACATAAAAAAACACATAATATTGTTAAAAATCTACGGTCCTACACGTTTCTAATAAAACTCCTGAACAATTTTAAACCAACCCCCCCCCCAACCACACAAACACCCAAAAAAATTACTAAGATAAATTTTTAACCTTTCCCTTCCATTCTTCTCCTTCTCTGGATTATTAATTCATGAAAAAAAAAAAGGAAAGCTTATAAATCAAACAAATAAAACTCACGTTAACGTTAACAGAAAAGTGCAAACTTTATCATCTTAATCAACCAAAAAAAATAGAGATATCGATCAAAAAAACAAAGCGGGAGAAGAAATCAAAAAACGGGCAAAGTCGAACCTCATCCAAGAAAAATTAGGGTTTAATTTGACAGGGTTTCTCAGGAAACTCAGTCAATGGCGTCGTTTTCGAAAGTGCTTGCTTTCCTCACTGTCACTGTACACTCCCTCCCCCTCTAACTCTCTCTCTCTCTCTCTAGAAATGGCAATTAACAGAGTGTTTTTCAAATGGCGGCTTTTGTTTTAGGCTTCGGCTGGTAGATAATTTTCTTTCCTTTTTTTTCTCTCTTTTTCTTTTAATTAAAGAAATTAAAAATTTTAAATATGTATAAAATCCGGAGGGTTTTACCGCCTCGTAATGCACACGTGTCGGATTTAGCCTTCGATCTTCCGTTTATTTCTGTTTAAGTTTGTTGGGTTTGGATAATGATCTTTTTCTGTTTTCTTTTAAACTCTTATTTTTTCCCCAAAATTTCGCTCATATATATATTTACACATATTTTAATTATTTCTACATTCGAATATCTGATTCATTATCTAAAGTGGACGTGGATATTAATCTTGGCATAATGGTTTAAAAAGTCCATACTTTCTTTCATTTTTTCAATTGTATCTCTAAATTATTTTTGGTAATTTAAATCATACTATTTTAAACTTTTTAAATTATGAGCATCCAATCAGTTGTAATCATCTAAGAATATTTTGAAGACTAGTTTATATATAATAATATTTGCATCCATTATATTAAAATCTTAAATAAATTAATTAATTTGTCAACAATCATTTAATATGATGATATAAAATATTAATTTTTTAAGTAATATCAGAGTTTAATTACTAATATAATGAATAAAATAAATTAGATTAGTGGTATCGTCTCATAATAGATCTATGTAATACTTAATTAAAATATATTGATTAATGAGACGTATTAATAATTAAATAAAATTATTAGTTAATCTTTAAAAAGAAACTTTATAATCCCTCGTAAAGAATTTCGTTATTTAAATAAAAATATGACAAAAATAAGAACGACTGGTAAAGGACGAAAGGATTTGTCTGTCTTTTTCTAAAAGTGGAAGTGAATAATATATTGAGTATACTTCACTCAAATAAGAGTATAGTTAGAATGTGAACTTTGGATCTAAATGGAAATTATGTATATAATAATCAATATGAGTATAGTTCACAAAATTTCAACAACAAAAAATCATCCATATGTGAAGTTTTAAGATTTTACAAATGGTATTAGTAGATTGATATATTATTGTGTTATTATAATTTTCTTTATTATAATTATGTCTAGAATAATTTATATGATCATATAAATTTCTTTACGTCAATAATCTATATTTAATATTTTATTATTTTTACGTATTATGCCCTACTTTTCTAATATTTTTATTATTTGCATTGTTTAGTTAGATAGTATTATCAAATCTTATGAAATTAAAATATTTTACCGACGGTCTAGTGGGATTAGACACTAGATTCTTTAAGTAAGGTTAGGGGTTCGATCCCTGGTGATTGCGAATGAAGCAAATAAGACCGGGAAGGTCGCCTTCGTCTCTGTTGTACCCGATCTAGATTAGTCGATTAATAGATCAGATACTAGTGATTAATTAAAAAAATATTTTAATAAAAGTGTATCGCAATTCAATTAAAGGTTTATTTAAAAGTATAAGTACATACATTATACTTTTTTTAGAAGTGTTTAAAGGTTTTTTTTAATCAAAATATGTGTCTAATTTTTAATTTAGATTTTATTTTTGAGTCCACCGTTTAAAAATGACCTAATGAGTGCATGACACGTTACATACGTTCATCTCCTTCCTTTCTCCTATTTGTTGGAGAATGGAACAATTTTAAGTTCGAAGCACTTTAATCTTTGAGAGCCCGTCCGCATCCATTTTATCTATGCCTCTTCATTTTTATTTTTATTTTGGAAAAAAAGCACGTTCCATAACACTTAGTTACGAAAACTTATCTATGTGAAAGTAAAATAAATATTTCAACTCTAAAATGTTTATTCCAAAGCACTTCAATTTCGCTTCTACTCACGAGTTGGATACAAAAATTGTACAACTTGAAAATACTCATCAATGGTGTATAATACTTTTTAATGCACGGCATGAAAATGATTACAGAATAAAATATTTTGTGTAAAAAAAAACTTTAAACATTTGAAACAAATAAAAGTTTTAATTTTATTTTTTTAATAAACAAAAGCAACTAGTTTTATTAAGAAAAAATATTCAAAATCACAATAAAGGTTTATAAATAGATTCTTAAACTAAACACATCATTAGGATATTATTTTATAACCATTAATATAAGAAACTAGTCAGTTAAGTTCGTTTAAGAAACATATAAGGAAAATATGAAAAATCTTATATACGAACATATCTGATACTACGATAAACAAACCACAACAGGAGATTTAACTACTAAAAGATCACCGACAAACGTAAACCAAAGTCAGGCATCGTGAGAAAACTATCTACGAACACATCTTGCATCTCCAAATCCAATTCAAGGGTTCAAAATAAAGAAAATTATAGGGATAACAAATGAGTGTCGTATTGATCAATCGCAATGACGTTAACTCATACTCTGAGAAAAATAAATGAAAAAACAACAAAACAACCGAAAAATGTGTCAAAAGACTAAAAAAACGTGTCATAAATATAAATAAAAACATGTCATGAAGATAAAATTATTAGAAAAAAAGAAAGAAAGATACGAGATAAAAAATGTAAATGATGGCTAATACTAAAATTATGAAAAAGCATTTTTATCTGTAGATTAAAAGCGTGTTTTAGTGTGAGAAGCTTCTGCTTCTCTCTAACCAGGCGATTTTCAAATTTCAATTTCCACCAGCCCAGGCGGATTTGATTATTATTCCCTCCACCGATAACCTCCCGGTGTCCGCCGTCGCCGTCCGCCACCCCCCGCCGTCGGCAACCGTCCGCCGTCACACTCCAACCACTGTTTTGATGCCGTTTTTTCCTAAGAAGATCGTCGGCTCAAGGTGTTTCCTAATATGGGCTTGGATTTGTGATTAAGACTATCATTTGTCCCAGATCTACAAGTCCCTCACTGCTATTTTCGCCTCTACCCGCTGAACATTCACTGTACATCGCATCTTCACCGTGCTCAAAGCCTTTTTGCGACCATTACCCATTTTTTAGTGTCGAGAATCGTTGCATCTCTTCTTGATTCTGCAGTGAGCAGTTTCGGGAAGAACAGAAGTATTGTCCTTCAATCCTTCTGCTTGTCTTCATTCTTAGGCGTTTTTCAAAAATTCCTTTCTTTATCCCCTTCAAATCCTTTAGATGGCGAGTCAATTAAGAAGATCTGGTGGGAAGAATTGCGTTTCAGTTATTATTTTCAATATTCCAGATTGTCTTCATTATCAAGGTCTTAGGTTATTGTTCGATAAATATGGCGAGGTGGTCGATTCTTTCATCCCTAGCAAAAGAAGCAAGGAAGGTAGCAGGTTCGGTTTTGTCCGATTTTCTAGAGTGGAGGACGCGATGAGGGCTATTATCTGTGCTGATAGATCTTGGATTCAAGATAAAAAGGTTAGAGTTTTCATGACGAGATTTCAACCTCGTGATGTTTTCTGGAGGAAAAAGTTTTCTGGTTCAAAGTCAGTTGTGGTCAAGAGTGGAGAGGAGGATGTCAAAGAGGCGCCCATTATTGGTGTAGTTGACGAGGATAAGCTAATTACTCTTAGAGATAGTTTGGTTGGTTGGTGCAGAAAATTATTAGAATGAAAGAGTTAGTTGTTGTCATGCACAAGGAGGGCATTTTAGGCCCGAAAATTATGAGGTTAAGTGGTTTAGCAATTCTGATCATTTATGAAGATGAAGAGAGTAGGGACGACGCTCTAAAAAATCAGATTGAAGCGTTGAATAAATGCTTTGACAAGGTGGAATTGTGGTCGGAAAACTTTCAGTGTAGCAGTCGACGAGCATGGTTATCATGTAGAGGGATCCCACCCATTGTGTGGAGCCATTCTACTTTTAGAAACATTGCATATAAATGGGGAGCTCTTATCTCAATTGACGTATGGACCTTATATCCTGGCTCTTTTGACAGGGCCTGTTTTCATATCATTACGAACTGTAAAGTTCGTTTGGAAGAATCCTTTGTTTTGAAAGTCGGGGATCAGTCTTTTTCAGTATATGTGTCCGAGATAGATCATTGCTTTAGCCCAGATTCCGTCTGGGAGGATTCATCTGCATTGGATATGGCAGTTACTTCCCCGCTTCACTCGGAGGGGGAGCTCGATGGTGTCTCGTCAGAAAAGTCTTATGAGGTTGCGGTTTGTGTTGGAACGTTTTCACGAGTTAATTTTGATTCCACTAATATTAAGGAAGTACAGCTTGAAACACGAGTGTCTATTGATGGCACGCATACTGAGGGTGGAACGTGTGGTTCAGGTGTCGAGGTAACAGGAGATGGCCCTTGTTCCGAAGAGGTATGGGTTGTTAAAGCTGTGTCCCCGACAGTCTAAAATGGTGTTGCTACGCATGGGACTGATTGATAGAAGAGTAGCACTTTCCCGACAGTTTGTAATGGGACATATTCGCTTGGCCAGAGGAGTGGAGATCATAACATTTTGGAGGGAGATGGTGGGATACACGTGGCCTCAGGATTGGATGTGTGTGTTTCTAAAGTTGATAATGCGCAACACATGTTTCTTGATGTTAGTGGTAAGCGTTTTTATTCAAAAAGAATTGGTGGCCTACGGCAGACCAATTTATTATTCAATTCTGAAAGGTCCTTAGAGTCTCATATTGTGGTTCGGTTAGTGGGGCAGCTGTGTGGGAGCATGTCTATCAAAGTGGTGGGAATTTTCAGGCCTTGGAGAGTGCTAGTAAGGCGCACGTTGGGTCTAAGGATATAATCAAAGGTAATGTACAGTTGCCAGTTGTGCCGATCATGCCTATTGATGGAATTAAGGTATTGGTGGCACACGAGGAAGTGCTTGCTGGTCAGGGGATGGGGCTTTCGAAATTCGAGAAAGTGGGGGTACACGAGGAAGTGCTGGTTCACGATAAGAGAGGGGCAGAAGAAGACAGCAGGAAAAGGTGTGAACCTGCACGTGCTTTTGTGGGTAATACTGGACGCCAGAAACAAAGAACTTTGGAGAAGAGAAATGCAATTTTTAGTTCTCTCCGAAACTTTCAGGAAAGATTTTCGGCTAATCAAAGGAAGCTTCGTTAAAGTCGAAGCAAGAGTTCTCAGAGGTAGGTTAAGGCAGTGGAAGTTGTGGAACTGTCAGATGACTCCTTTCTATTTTTCTGTATGGAGTTGGTAGTTCAGTTGGCCTCTGTCGACAAGTCGAGCAAGAAGAGGCAGTAAGGCGGAAGCTGATTCTTGTACTCTTTTAGTGCAGATGTTCAGGGTTTTGTTTTTTGATTTTGCCTTTTATGGATTGAGCCAGCTGTGTTATTTGGTCTCTGTTTTAGCTGTTGTTTTTGTGCTGGTCGTCGGGCTAAGTTTAGGTGTTAAGTCTGGTCAGTCATTCTTCTGACTGTTGTTGTAGCATAGGTGGTTTCCGTTGTGGTTGTGTAGGGTTTTTCGGTTGTTTTTGGTTGTTTATTTATGTTGGGGGTGGCGACTTGGTTGTATCTTTTGAATCTTATGGTTAATGAAATCTTAGGGCACTCTTTTCCTCCTTCCGTTGATTAAGGAGTTTTTTTACAAGATCCTTTAATCAAGAAGGAGGTTTTTAACGAGACCTTCAATTCCTATATATATATATATATATATATATATATGAAAAAGAAAGAAATAAACCGTAGCTGAGAGAGAGAGGGAAAATAAAAGAAAGAGCTGTTAGGGTTTTTTAATATTATTTTTGAAATGACATATATTATCATTTTTAATAAACAGTGAACATGGGCTACCAGCGTGGGCCAGGCCTATTCCGATTCAGGTTTAGGCAAAAGCTACAAATTAACTTATTTTCTAAGTTGGTATTATTTCTTCTTGTTGGAGGTGGTCCCTTTTTCTTTCCTTCTTGTCTTGTCTCAATCGGTCACGCTTTATTTCAAGTATAACCAACACAGAACAGAAAAGAACAAAGATGAAAGTGCAATTCTTGTCCTCTTAAACTTTTATATGAGGTGGAAACTCAACCATTATAAATCTGATGTTGTGATCGGAAACATATATATATATATATACACACACACCCCCTTTAGTACAAAGTTTTTTAGTTTTATCCATTAATGTAAAAACGAAATGTTAATTTATTATATTTCTTTACAAATTATTTTTCTATCCACGTAAACATGATTGAACAAAGAAATAATTTTTTTAACTAAATTATAGTATTTTAATAATTTGTGATTCATAATATGAATGAACTTATTTAGTGGCCTCAATAATTAGAAAGAGTGTTGTTATCGTTTAAGATCTCGAGTTCAAGTAGTTATACATGTAAGGTGTGTGCATTGACAATAATTAAGAAATGTCTTAAACAAATACTACATTATAATAATCTCAATAATTGATCTCGTATAATCATAATTTTTTATATAAAAAATTATTTAGTCCATGATTTAAACCATATATTCATTTAATTTTTTGATCTAATCACAAGGACATATTTAATATATAAATCAAAAACTTAATATCAGTGTCAAGTTTTACAATGTTGAAGTATGTTCCTCCTATATCGTTTAAGCATTAATTCGGTAGATACTATAAGAGACGGAGTTAAGATATCAGTTTAACGAAAATAAAGTGTAATTAATACTAGGAATAGAAAAATCTGATATTATTTATTATAAAAAAATTATGAGAAAGTGAGAACCCTTGAGACGAAAAATAGCTTGGTCCATAGACAGTAGACACTATTACTGTTGTAACATATAAAAGGCTATAAATTAATTATGAATTAAAATATGTTTAAAAATAATTACTATTTTAAATACTCTATACATAATAATTTACACCTTAAAATATATATATCCACCTTACAAGTGCTAAAGTCATACAATATGATAATGTTATATGACAAGTAGTCGGTGATACAACAAAAAAAAAAACTGTTAATTTTTTATATGCTCATATTCGAGATCTGTTGTTATCTAATAATATCGTTTTAAGGTTCAAATTTAATTTTTTAAAAATATATTTTACTACTACATCTAATACTTATTTGACAATTGAGTAATGCAAAATTTCTAATATTTATGAATATCATATTTTTATTTATACTTTGATTTTAGTTATTTATCGTTGTGATTAATCAAGTTCATATGTTGATAAGGGGCACTGTTTTAGTTATGAATATCTACATTAGATCTTGAATTCAATCCGGGGTAATTCTTTTTCCCTCCCCTTATAAAAAGAACACAATTTATAGTGAATAACATATTAAGATGTCTGAATTTATTAAAATCAGATATACTAATAAAAAAAACATCATTTTAATCCTAATTGACATTAAATATTAAATTTAATCTCGAGTAGGCCCTCCCTTTCGTCATTAAAAAACATGTTTTCATTAAATTAAATTGACAAAAGTTAAAAGATTGAAAATAAATACGAATCCAGAGTCATTCAAGAAATTATGAGTTAAAAACAATTAACGCAACAGTATAATAATGAGTGACTATGCAACCCATCGATAGCATATTTATTCAGTCTCCAGCATCTATCAAGATTTAGAGTCCATCAGAATCCAGGAATTACTGAGGTGGTTTCCGGCAAGTAATGATGGCGAACTTGATCACCCCCTTCTGGTAACCTTCGATCATCAACGGCATCACCAACGCGCCTTTTATGGTTTTTAATCCTATTCAACACAAAATCAACAAGAAGGAAAATCAGCAACCACAAAGGTTTTTCCATCTCGAAATTTTATAGTTACCGCTGCGTAGTAGCGATGTGAAGCCCTTCCATGTCAATGCGGAGCGTATCACCGCCGGCCAGAATGGGGCAACATGTTCAGACCAATCGTCAGTCTTTATATCCTGCAAAAATCATACATATTCTTAAACACGGTTACGATAAAAGTTGGCGAAGGAGATAAAGTTATGCAAATGATATGAACTTCATAGCAAATTCGAGAAAGTAAAATACCTGGAAAGAATGGGAGTGAAATAATTTCACATAATCAGAAGCAGAGCACCACTCCGGTAAATAGTAAGCATCACATATTCTTTTTAGAAGATTTTTCTCCCATGGCTGCAAAGACTCTTCAGATGGACCAAGATCCCTATGGCACCATGTCACTATTATAATTGTGCCTCCGGGAGCTGCCACTCGCACCAACTCATTAACAAACTGGCAGTTCATTGGGAATTTGTAAACGAAAGCATAATCAATTATAAGACGACATTGTAAGAAAATTCAATCATAGATATATTAGTTTTATATTTTGTTATTTTGATTCCATATGTTCACCACGTATTTGAACGGGAATATATCTATATCCGATACTCAATCGAATCCAAATATTTGTTTGGCTCAACGAGTCAAAACTCAGAAGGATTAGAACAAAATGTGAAACAACAAACCTTAGCTTTATCAGGCATGTGTTCTCCGCTTTCCATAGACCAAACTAGATCAAACTGCCCATCGGAGAATGGTTGGTTCAAGGCATCTGCAACTCCAAAGGAAACCTGCTAATTATACAATGTTTAGAAAATCCAGTAAGACATCTGATCGGTTGAATCCAAGATCATTTCGATAAGTGATTGAGTAATGACGTCGTGTTCAATATGATCATTTTAAAAAAATAAAAGTTTTACTACAGTCTTCAATTTATGATGATGATAGATAAAGGATTGAAATATACCTTGTCTGCTAGTCCTTGAGCTCTAGCAAGGGCATTAGCTCTATCAGCTTGAACAGGGCTCAAAGTAATGCCTTGGCATTGTGCTCCATACTTCTTGGCTAGATATCTAGAACTGCCTCCTATCCCACACCCAACATCAACTATTCTTTTTGGCTTCTTTCCCTGGTCCTCTGAAAATCAAATCTCAAGCAGAAAGTCAGTTGATAGAAGTAAGGTTATAAAAACTGGAACGAAAATCAAATTAGTTACCTTTTTTATATTCGAATTAATTGGATCATTTAATCGAATTTGGTTTCATTTTAATGAAGATAACTTATTTGTGTAGTTTCCATAATAAAACATGATACAATATCATTTTAAAAATTCCACATTTTTTTTATTATATCTAGGGGTGCATATAAAAAGAGCATTCAATGAATTGTTCCTTTATTAAGCTAAATAAATGAGTATGAACAAAATTTTTATATTCATTTAATAAACGAACTAACACGAGAAAATGTGTGCTCGGTTCGTTTATGTTCATGAACAAGCTCGTTTATCTGATTCTCTCTTTCCTTTTACTTTTCACCTTTTAAATATTGGCGAAGATAAGGACTAACAACGAGTGAACTTTAGAGTTCAAACTGTGAAGTCTGAGGAACTAAAAGACTAGTTGTTTAATTTCACCATTTATGAGACATATAATTGAATATGTTCACGAACGTTAAACGAAACATATAAAAGAACATGTTCATGAATGTTAAACGAATTAACAATAAATAAAAGAACACGAACACTTCCAAAAATAAATAAATAAATATGAATATAATATTAAAAATTTAAATGAACAATATCGAACATAAACACTTCCAAAAATAAACAAATGAACACAAATACAACTTTATTTGATTGAATTCAATTCATTTACACCTCTAATTATTTCAAATTAGTTTTTTAATAATTTTTTATAAAGTTAATGACACTTACCTCAAGTTTGCATAATCAGTTTTCTTGGGGGGTAAATAGTTATTACAAAGTTGTTTTTATAGGTACAAATGAACAACTTTTTGTAATTATTAGAATGAAAGTATTTATAAAAATAATTCAAGAAACATATATATATATATATTAATTATTAAAATAATTTAAATACTAATTAAATTTATATAATTTTACTCATTAAAAAATATAAATATTCCAATTATTTTGTGTTTCATTTAGGGCCAATTTGGTATAGTTTTTGAGAAATGACTTGTAAAAATGTTATTTAATAGTACAATTTAAAATTTAAATGTTTGAAATTATTGTTAAAAAATGAGTTTAAAAAAATAAAAGATCTATTATAGATATTATGTTGTAAATTAAAAAATAAAAAATACAAACAAACAAAAATATAATTGTAATAAAAATATATTATAATAACTCACTATTAATATTTAATATATAAATCATGAATTTTATTTACTTTTAAGTACTTAAAATAAATTATTAAGTAATAAATTATTTTTTAAAGATGTTAATATTAAATTATTAAAATAAAATGTAAATATAAATTATTTCCAAACATAAAGTTAAAAATAAAAAGGTTAAAAATTCTAATTTTTTACAATTGATTTGAAACTACCATTACTACGTAATTTGTTACCTGTTTAATATTGATTTTATAATTAAAACAAATTTTTTAAACTAAAACTACTTTTAGAAAATATTACCGGGAACTTATAATTAATTACTTTTATGAACAAACAAATTTCGAGTCTATTTGTAAGACCTAATTTTGTTAGGCAAGTGCTAAATTCGTTGTTATTGAAATCCTTTTGAATAAGTAACTCCGGACGTTGACACTGTCGTTTTTCACCAAATAACGTCAAACTTCAACAACAAAAGCAATCTTTGAACAGAAAATGGACACGTGGATTAAAAAGGAATACGCAAAGAGAAAACGAACCCGATATTCCAGCGAAACGGAGCGATTCCTCGATCATTCGAATCTGAGCGGCGCGATGATCCGAACCCGAAACATCGAAATCCGGGTCGTAAAACCCGTGGTGCATATGCTCACCCCATATGTCTTCCCAAAGCCCACTCGACTCGTCGTAAAACTCCGCTATCCCATCCTTCAACTCACGGGCGTCGTCCGTGGTGGCCGACGACGCAGAAGACGACGCCTTGATACCAGCGGACATGAAGCTTCCGTTAGATTGAGAGGTGCGGGAGTAGCACGAGGAAGAAGAAGGGAATGAAATTGAAGGACGTGGCGGAGATGACAGCTGGCGCGTGCAGAGCAAGCAAGAGAGTGTTTGCAGAGCAGAAGCCATTAATTTAGAGTTTGTCTTTTTTTCAGTGATTCAGTCCTCGTTTTGGTTTGGCTCGGTTATAGTTGTGGCCGGAGTAGTGAAAGAGTAAAAATAAAAAATGAAGAGCGGTGGGGAAGGAAAGGGCCGCCCGGCGTCGTAGTCGATAAAAACAGAGAATTCACTGCAGGAAGGAAAATGGAAAGGAAAGTAGAAGCGTGTGGTGAAATTGCAGTGACGGTTGTGCCTAGTGGGAATGCTTATACTCTGTATAGATTACCTCACTTTATTAGAAGTCCGAAATTACCGTATGGGTTACAATACTTACCGTAGACGATATGTGATCGTTAATAACTCAATCCTTTACTAATTACATACCGATTATTTAGCTTTTATATGTGTTTGTGTCCACAAAACTTTTAAAATAAGTTATGTTAAAAAATATTATTTTAGATAAAAATTAATATGTGATACACTATAACGTGTATTTTTTTTATAAATTACTATATATTAGTTATTTTTTTATTAAGTTAAGGTGATTATAAAGTAACATTTGTTATAAATACTCTCAATTATTTGATAATGAACATTCAATCACTCTTATAATCTTTGATTTTCGAACTTTTAAAAATATCAATAATTCTTTTGACTACTGAAATATGTACATATTAATTAATTTAAATTAACTTTTAATAATATATCATTTGATTCATTAATGATTATAAAATTATATACGATTATACACCGCAAGCCATTCGAGTGACTAGTCAGTCCCTTTGGTTTGATGGTATTGGTCGGTTTTCACGAGCGGTGGTCTAAAAGCTTCTTTCGAGGTTGTGGTGGTGTTTTGCACATGTTTTGAAACTTGTCTCGACTTGGAGTCTTTAATGGAAGCGCTTATGGTGTCAATGTATACGAATATGACGGCTGTGCCGTTGTTGGCTGGGTTGGTGTTGCACCTCTGCCATTACTAAGGAGGGTGGCAGTTGGAGTTGTGTTCGGTAATAAAATCCAAAAATCACTTAAAAATTGTTATTTACTATAATAACACTCATTTATCAATATTTACCAAAATCTCGTCCATTTATATAAAATATATTTTACAGGATTCATCTTATGCATACGTGGCAAAGACGCTTTACTTAGAAAACTATATATCTGAACTGGTTTATATTATGAGAATATAATATATTTTATGAGGAAATATCCGGTATTTTGAATAAGGTTTATTTAATGTCTGATTTACCGTATAATTTTTATATGGTTTATAGTTATAGTATTTTTGTACATGATTTCTAAATATGGAACATTTTCATATTTAATGGATTAATTACCGTTTTTACTCCAATGCATATATGTTTATTTATTTTTATTGGGGGTACAATTGAAGGAAGTATTACCAGGTCCAGCATTACAGTTTACCAGGTCCCTTTGCTGTGTGCAAGGGTAAACCTTACAGTTTCTCAGGTCCCTTTGCTGTGTGCAAGGATAAACCTTACAGTTTTCTTAGGCTCCTCTGCTTTGTGCACAAGTTAAGCCTTACTGGTGTATAGGTGGTGTACGGTTCAGGTGAACCTACACATTTTGATGATTGGATGGGGGTATTGTGCATATTATTAAAATATATTAGATAAATTGTTTTATCTTATATGAATTATTTTATTATGTATGTGTTATACACTGTAAGGGGCACACTGGGCTTTTTAGCTCATTTTATAGTTTTTTACCTTTTTAAGATAACAATAGACTGTAAGCTAGCAGATTTGGCATTAGGGGAAATCAACTACTTATTTTGTACGAACGTATATCTCTATATGTTTTTCAGTTGTGTTTGGTGACATGTATTACTCTATCGTTTTGGATATATTTGTATTATCGATATTTTGTTTAGTATTACCTTAATGTTTTATAAGTTGTTTAAAAAAATCTCTGAATGGGATATGTGACCACTTAGGTTTGAGTCTAACTTACAGACCGGGTCTAGGGGGTTACATTTGGTGGTATCAGAGCTTTCTGTTTTAAACACTCGGACTGTATATGGGTCCTACGCTTTGGATTTTTAAGAAATTTTGAAGAAGAAAAAAATGTCACCATATTATATGATTTAAAGTTTTCTCGAGATCCCTGATGCTAATCTGACATATGTTTTGAATTCTTTCTGTAGAGCCTTATAGATCCAACAATGAGTGCTGCTGCTAGAGCTCGTAGAACAGAACGTGGTCGTGGTCGAGGACGAGTCACTCGACCTTCTGTTACGATAGATGATCCGATGTCTCCACGTGATCCTCCTGTTTCGGAAGTAGATCCTACCCTTTCTCATGATGATCAGTTTTCTCCTGTGAGAGATCCTCCCGTCACTGGAGATGATGATACTGACATAAATGAAGATGCCCTTAATAGAGCTATATTCTGCATGTTTCAGAGAGCTGCCAGAGCCCCTAATAATATGACTACAGTTGAGATTTCAAACTCTTTGGTCGCTGCTGGTGTAGTCCCATTCGAGGGTATTACTGGTAGACCCCCGACAGACGCTGAGTATTGGCTAGAGGGTACATAGAGGATTATGGATGAGATGGACCTCAGAATTGAACAGAAGTTGAAGGGGGCCCTAACTATGTTGAATAAAGAGAGCTTCAGATGGTGGCAATCAATTTCTGGTAGTATTTCGAGAAACCAGTTAACATGGGATCTTTTCAAGACGCGCTTCCGGAGTCGCTACATCGGGGAGAGATACCTGCAGGAACGACGTCAGGAATTTCAGAATATGGAGCAGGGTAGCATGTCTGTTATGGACTACGAGGTTGAGTTCATCCGATTGAGTCGTTATGCTCCTGGACTTGTGGACACTGAGACAGATCGATGCTTGAGGTTTGAGAATGGACTCAGGTATGAGATCAGGAGTCGAGTCACTACCCACTGAGAGAGGAATTTGATGCATTGGTTGAGATAGCCAAGAATGCTGAGAAAATAGAGCGTTTGGGTATGGAGCACAAGAGAGATAGTGATCGAACTCAAACCCGATTCAGGAGGCCTTATGGTTTTGTAGTTTCTTTTGCACACCCCAACAAGAAAGGCAGGGGTGAATCCTTTCAGAGAGGTGGTGCAAGTGTCAGGCCTGTGGCATCCGGTTCTTCAGTCGTACATCCTTCTAGACATGGTGGATCTTCTGGGTTGCAACCTATACCGACATGTGTGCACTGTGGAAGATGTCATTATGGTAAGTGCAGGCTGAAATTGGGGACATGCTTTAGATGTGGTTCCGGTGACCATTTCATGAAAGACTGTCCAGAGTGAGATCGTTCAGTTCAGACGCCAGCTCGGGCTCCCGCTAGTTCTCATAGTGCAGTTCAGACTCCAACAGGGGGTCGTACTTAGGAGAGAGCGCCTGGATCGGCTAATATAGGCCGATCATCTCAGAGTAGGGGTCCAATCAGATATGAGACCAAACAACCTGCATTGGTTTATACTGCAGACTTCGACAAGATCGTGATAGGCCCAATGTGACTGCAGGTATTGTTACTATTCATTCAGTTCCCTACTTTGCATTGTTTGATAGTGGCTATACCAATTCCTATGTATCGCATTCCGTTTTCGAGGGTCTAAATATTCCTGTTGAGAATACTAAGCATTCGGTGATAGTTCAAAGTCCCTTAGGCAAGTCCATCATGTTAGATCATATTTTTAGAGAATGCCTTATAGAGATCAATGAGGAGATTTTTCTGGCTGACCTAATGGAGTTACCTTTGGAAGAGTTTGATTTGATTCTCGGCGTAGATTGGTTGGGCAAACATCGAGTAAATATTGATTTTGAGACCAAGAGAGCTGTTCTGAAAACCCCAGATAATCGAAAGATTGTAATGATCGGAGAACGCCGTGGATTTCTGACGAATGTTGTGTCTGCTTTGGTAGCTGAGAAGATGATCAGGAAAGGTTCCGAGGCGTTTCTTGCTTATATATTGGATACTAGGAGTTCTCAATCTGATATTGAAGGCATCCAGATTGTCAAAGAATTTCCCGATGTTTTTCCCGGGGAGTTACCTGGATTACCTCCAGATAGAGAAGTCGAGTTTGAGATTGAAGTATATTCTGATTCTACTCCGGTTTCAATGGCTCCTTATCGTATGACACTAAAAGAGCTTAAAGAACTGAAAGTCCAACTCCAGGAGTTGTTGGACAGGGGATTTATCCGACCCAGTGTATCACCGTAGGGAGCCCCAGTTCTCTTTGTAAAGAAGAAAGATAGGACATTGAGACTCTGTATTGATTATAGGAAACTGAACAAGCTCACGGTTAAAAACAAATATCCTCTGCCCAGGATCGATTATCTATTTGACCAATTTTGAGGGGCTTCTATCTTTTCAAAAATAGACTTGAGGTCTGGTTTATTATCAACTCAAAGTGAAAGACTCGGATATTCTAAAGACTGTTTTCCGTACTCGGTATGGGCATTATTAGTTTTTAGTGATGTCATTCGGGTTAAAAAATGCCCCTGCTGCTTTTATAGATCTGATGCATAGGGTGTTTTGACCTTATTTGGACTAGTTTGTAGTTGTATTCATTGATGATATACTGGTGTATTCTAGAAGTGAGGCAGAACATGAGGAGAATCTAAGGATTGTTCTACAGACTCTAAGAGAGAATAAGCAATACGCTAAGTTGAGCAAGTGTGAATTATGGCTCAGCGAAGTGACTTTTCTTGGATATATCGTTTCTGCTGATGGTATTCGGGTAAATCCAAGCAAAGTGGAGGCTATTTTGAACTGGAAGCAACCTAGGAACATTTCTGAGATCCGTAGTTTCTTGGGCTTAGCTGGTTACTACCGTCGTTTCGTAGAGGGGTTCTCCCTTATTGCAGCTCCTCTGACAAAACTATTGAGGAAAGATGTTCCATTTGTCTGGTCTGAAGACCAACAAGCTAGCTTTGAGAAACTGAAAACTGTTCTAACTCAAGCCCCAGTGTTGATTCAGCCTGAATCAGGGAAAGTTTTTTCTGTCTACAGTGATGCTTCTCACTCTGGATTAGGATGTGTTTTGATGCAAGATGGGAAGGTTGTCGCTTATGTGTCGCGTCAATTAAAGTCGCACGAGCGTAACTATCATACTCACGATCTGGAGTTAGCTGTCGTGGTTTTTGCTTTAAAGATCTGGAGACAATATCTCTACGGAGAAAAGTGTTATATCTATACTGATTATAAGAGTCTGAAGTATCTGCTTACCCAGAAAGAATTGAATTTGAGA